TCTATGAATCTATACAGGGTGTGTACATAAGTTACTTCTTTCACTATTTAAAACACTTTATTGCCATGACTTAACAGAAATGCACGGTTTTACAATACTTTTAAAATGGGTAACGTGCATTTAATTAACCCTTGTTAAATGAGTTATTAAAATGTGAAGAGGTGTATTTTACAGCACTTTAGCAACCTACAGTGCTTTAAGTAACTTCTATACACTGGTCAAATTTCTAGACAGTGGAGAAGCCCCAGGTGGCTATGAAGCACACCCTGTCTCCTAACCTGGAAAGTGCAGGGCATCTGAGAGGTCCCCTTGCCCTCCAAACACTGCACTACTGCCATGTTTAAGAGTGCTATAAAAAGTCCTCTAAATTACAGTGTGGTGAAACATGCATGGAGCTCTTTGGTTTACCCACAGGCCTTTTAAACTGGTTTAAAGTTGTGTGCGGAATGGTTCAAAAGCACACCTGGAAAAATCTCACATTCTGTGAGATTCTCCTCAACCGCACTGCTGCAACTGGCCCCTCTGGTACGTAGCCAAACTCTACTGCTCCTTTTTTCCCTTTTATTGGCACTTTTTAATGAATGAGTTTACTTGCACTGCTTGTTCAATAAAAGCTATCTTTCTAATAACCAGCTGTGTCCTCACACCCTACCTGACCTCAGCTCTAAGTCCAGCCTCTAGGAATCCAAATGGTGGATCCAAGCACTCTCCCTCACCTCCTCCCTCCCAGCATAAATCAGAAAAGCACACTGCAAACTCTGTTCAACTTTAGACTGTTGAGGTTTACTGAATTCATGCTTAGGAGAGAAGGGAAAGGAAAAAAGTTAAAATGCCCTCAGCCATAGGTCACCATGTCCTGGTACTCCAAAAGCATGGGTGCAAGCACACTTCCCCACCTACTCACCCACTGCAAGGCATGCTGCACTAGGTTCTCATTCTCATGTCCTGGTCTTGGAGCCAGCACACTTCAGACAATTGTGGAGCAGCTCTCAATTAGCGACGTTTTGGAATGGTTTTATTATAGTGTGGACACGCATAACATCTGTGATAGGGCTGCAGCCAGCAACACTTTTTTTCAAAGAAAAATTACTAGTGGTTATTCAGATCATTAGCTAGGAGGACATTATACCAGAACAGCGTCCCTTGGGAAGCAGGTTGTGACAAATGAGGCTCCAAGACCTGCACCACATTTTTTTTTAGATACACCCTTGTGAAAGAAAGCTCTTTGCTTTGTCTACCTTTGAAATGGCTGGGAAAGACACTTTGGCTTTTGAAACCTGTGCACTGTTGGGCCTGTTTAGTGAGCCAACTATATGCTAGTATCCTGTAGGTAGTACTCAACCTCCTTTTGCCTCCCTTCATAACTATTGGAAGCTCTGGTCTTCATCAGACCCATAGAATCAAGGCTAAGCGGCCATGGATCGAGCTGACTATAGCTCATCATCTGCTGAAACATTTTCTGGAATCATTTCTATTTCTTAGGCCACTGACAAATGTTTAAAAGAAGTTAAGATGGGATCTGATGCATGCTCCCAACAACTGCTCTTCCTGCCATGCTATACATACATAGGAAGTGCAATTGTGGGATTGAACATCAGATCTGACCAGGATCCCAGGCTCCTTGCACTGGCAATCTTTGCTTCCATGGCTGGGAACTCCATCAGTTGATCGGAGCTCCCAGCAGCAGGGGCACACCGTACATTCATGTGACTGAAAGGTCCAATCAGCTGACAGAACTCCTAGCCATGAGAGCACATGGTGCACCCCTGCAGCTGCAAGCTCCAATCATTGCAAGGGCTCCCAGCCAAAAAGGTCACATATTTGTTTGGATTGGGAGGGGGGGAGGGGGACACAACCTGCACTCCCATGACTGGGAGCTCCATCAGCTGATCAGAGCTTACAGCCAGAAGAGCTCACCATGCTTCCCTGGGCTGGGAGCCCTGATCAACTGACTAGTGCTCCCAGCCTCTGGAGCACACAGGAGTGTAATAACTTTGTCACTTATTCCTAGTTTTATCACATCATTAACTGAATGAATGTGTCACTAGGTCCTCTACTTAAGACATGATGAACCAGTTAATCACATCTTAAGTGTAACATGTGTCAGGGGCCTTAGACTGTCATAAGATGCAGAGTAAGGAAGATGGGAGAAGGGGAGTTTTGAAGGGTGGCAGTGCACTGAAGGGTTGAGGAATTAAGAGCAGCAGCAGCAGAGAGACATAACAGAAGCTCACTGTCCCAAAAATCTTAAACAATACTGTAGGAGAGAGGCAATTCCTGATCTACTGGTAATTAAACTCATGAAAGCAGACCTCCTGATCATGGGAATTAAGGGACACACTGCATTTTGTACACAAATACCCCTGGAAACAGCACTTAACTCCCTGAATTCTTTGCAGAGGAGGTCAGTCAAACGCTACACAGAATAGAGAACGAATCTGAAGAATTACTTTTTTACGTGAACAGCAGATACAAAATAGCATGTTTCATAAAAAACAAATGCATTAGAATTCCTTTTTCAAAAAAAAATAAAAAAAGCCTTACATTTCATAAACTGCACTAGGTACTTGGCTACAGTACAAAAAATTTAAATATAGAACCTTAATGACAGCCTGCCTTTCTCTGGGGTCTATTTATTCCCACACTTGAACTATCCCTATACACATTTCAAAGCTAGGGAGGGGCCATATGTATTAAAATAAACCACCAAAGAAAACTGCAAAGCAAATAAATAATTTCTGTTCTTGTCATTCTTTGTAGCAAATTATTTGTTTTAAACATGCTACAGCTATGCTTATTTTAATAAATCCTAATATGATTCCAAATGAGTCATAATACATGTAAAAGGCCCACAAAATAGCAGGTACCAATGGGTGAATAAATCAAACAATTTTTTCCATGAATATTTTTCTTGCATTAAAAAAAAAAAAAAAAAAATCAAATTAGCTTTTCAGCCAAGATACAGTTCTGAACCTGCATGGATGCCCAGGGCAAACTAGCAATGGACCAATTTATTGAAACCCACCTGGACCTTGACTTGCAAATTAAAACCAGTGAATGAAAGCTGTGGAATTTGCTTTGCAACTGGCACTATCCAGCACCCTAAAATCAGGCCATATATATCCCACTGTTCATAAGTACAAACCCATGTCTTATTTATAATGAAAAAGAAGCTTCTAATACTTCAAATGTATGCATGAAATCTTTTTAAAATGCTTGAAAAATATTGAGGTCTTAAGTAAAAAAAAAGATATTGTCAATAGTGAAAAACAAAACAGAACTAATTCCATTATGTATCAGTACAGTGAAAGATTAAATGTTCAAAAATGCTGTTTTCAGCCAAAGGAATCCAGGAAAGTAACACAAGTACCTGGTAACACCTCATAACCAACAGTGAGGGGTAGGAGTTAGGCATTAATGGGCACAGAGTTCCTTTCTAAGTATCAGTTATAAAAAGTGTCTGGTCATTGAACACAAATATGGAAAGAAGGAATGAAGGGAACAGGCTGAAATATAGCAGTTATCAAACCAGAGCTTGTGAATATGCAGAAAAGGGGGTATTTAAACTGGACATAAGAACTGCCATTTACTGGGTCACATCACAGATCTATCTGGCCCAGTATCTTTTGTCACAGTGGCAGGGAGTAGATGCTAAAAAGGAGAGTAAACTAGGTATGACCAGGATGTTGTCCACTCTTCCCTTAATATTTGAAGCCTCCAGCACTTAAGGTCTACCTTAAAGACAGTAACATGAATCTTAAGAATAGTGACTGGATAATTCAGAGAAGTCTAACACCTTTTTTTTTAATGGAAACATAAACAGGAATACAAAGAGCAGGGTTTAAAAGAAGGGAATGAATAAGCAAAATATTGATTAGTATTTAATTTTGATTTACAGTTATGTGACAGATAATCCATAAGTAAAATTACTCAGCCAAACTGAATAGTCTTTTGGCTTGAAGTCCTGGGGTATACAGCACTGCAATTTTGCCAGTCAAGTGAAGCTCCTATTTGGCTTTCCTGTGACCAGAAGACTCTTATTAAGATTTTCTACTCTTCCATCTTCAAGTCTCAAAGTGTTGTGTTTTTTTTTTAAAGACAGTTAATCCAGAAATAGAATTATTTTATGCAGTTGGATAATTAAAGCATAGGTAAGCCAGTTAACCTATCCTAAGTTCAAAGGCAACGGCTGAACATGAGTAGCGACTTAAGGAAGTGCCTCACCTCTAACAGCTCAGGCCACATACATATGTTCATTTCTAACAGAAGGACATTTCCACTGCTGGACAAGGTCTCTGGAAGAGGGAATGGGTATCAATGTTCAAGTCTGCAACTCTGCTTCTTGCACATTCCCGATATGAGGGTGATCCTGGTTATGAAATCTGAAGCAAGAGCAACACTGCTTCATGGGCTCAGCTCATGGGTCTCAAAAAGGCACAGAAACCTTTTGTCCCAGCTCCACTCCTCCTGCCCTAGGAGGAGTTAAACCACGGGGAAGTGTACAGGCATTCATTCTCTGGGGACAAACTGCAGTGAGAGATTTGTATCTGGTTGTAGTTGGGTTACTTTGCCCCGCAGCAGCCATTTTTGCTTTAGAAAGAAAAGCTGGAGTATCTGTACACTTTTGGTTTCTACTGGGAGAGTGGTGATTCTCTCAATAGAAACAGAATATCTGTTCATAGCCTCAGTTTACATACCTGGACATTTTCATAATGTCTATACAAGTAACTGTTCCTTAAAAAAGGAAACTAGAATGACAGTATGCTTGCTGTTTTTACAATTCCTGTTTCTATCTGCATCTTTTCAAAGTGCTCATCAACAAAGATATCCAGGTTCATTTAACAGTAAATTTAGTATTTCCCTGACACACACTATACTGTATGAAAGTTAGTTTATTTTGCGTAAATAAAAATGTCTTCTTACCTTTTAATTTTCATTTGTATTCAAGTCTATTAAGAGATAAAATTTCACTGAAGTATAGTAATAAAAGAAAAGGATATTTTCCTGCAGTTTTCACACCCACTCTGTAGTCCACATAGCTTTTGGACGGATGGAAGTTGAATATAAAAATGAGATTTGCCCTCTCAAAAGCTATGACCTTATTAGACTCATGTTTTTCACTCACAAAACCCTAAAAAGAAAGAGATAGGTACATTTCAATTGTTACAAATAAGGCTTTATTTGCAATTAGAGTGGCAAAAATAGGCAGACACATTGCAGCCTTACCTGAATTCAGCTGAAACCAAAATGCTGTCAAATAAAATTAAAGTGGTATTGATATTTGAGTTAAAGTGTAAGCTCAAATTTTGTCACATAGTGTGTAATTTCATATAAGATTTCAGATCACAAAACTACAGCCTTAAATTTTCAAACAGCTGAGGAATATGTGAAAGGAAAAAAGATAATAAAATAAAAGTCAACTACACATTTTATTTTGGCAATTGGTGGGGGTGAGGAAGGGGAGCACTTGAAGGAAGAACTCCAAGTGAAATTAAATTATGCATCAATGTCCATACTTTTCTTTCCACAAATAGATTTCTTATACTAAAGGCAATTTCCACTTACATTCTTGACTGGATCAGCATTCTTTCTGTTGGTGGTTTAGAAATTAGTATACATTGAGCATGTCTACGTGTTGCCCTACAGCGACGTAGCGATGTGCTATGTCACTGTACAGTGTGCTACGGTGATGTAGAGATCACGTGGGTCTACACGTAATAGCCAGCTATGTCACTGTAGGGCATGCGCTGATGTAGCAGCAAAATTAACTGTGCTGCGTGCATGGCACGGTAATCACCATACACGGCAATGTATAGGCACACCCAGTGTGGAGTAAAGAAAATGCTTTTTGGTACTCTGTTACATGCTTGGTATCAAGCTTGATGCTTGAAGACTATTTATTAGTTTGCCACCAATGTTGGAAATAGTCTTGATAACCCACATGAGAATATTTATTGCTAGCAACAACAAATTATCACACATATACTACCTTCACTTTATTTTCCCTGCATTAGCAAATACTTAAGCAGATGGCTAACTTAACAGATTTTTAAGAGGCTAAATTACAAATTGAGTATTGCATAATGCATAATGAGTGTATATAAAAAATATTAGGCAATTGAAAACTTATTTAACATTAAGAAACTGAAGGAGTTCTACCTCTGAGTAACTTTAACAACAAATAAATAAAATATGCAGGTGAAGTGGCAACTTTGTAATTGACTACTTGAAGATCAGGAGACACATGCTACGCTACACCAAGGCTTCATATGGACATTACATCTAGAAGTTTGGGAGGTTGGATCAGGTTAAAATGCACCTCCACTTCCGCCCATGATCTAAATTAGTAATTAGATAGGTGCTGGGGGTCTAATGTAAGCTAAGTTGTGGGAAGGGTGGGATAGGAGGATATATCAGGGCGGGGTTAGAGGGGTCGAGGGGGGGGGAAGTGGGGGGTAACGGATCAGAAACGATCTCCCATCTGACAAACCTCATCGGACTCTCCTTCAGCACCTCTCCCCTCACCCCAATCCCACAAACTGCTTCTGGGGTTGGTTTTACTGGTGTTCACTGGTCATGGAAGCCTGACTGAAGGAAGTTGGAGTTGGGGGAGGGGCAGGCAGATCTAGGGCTTGGTGGCTTTCAGGGTGGGAGGAGTGACAGAATTAGGTGGGGCTGGCAGCTCTGGTAGGATCAGGAGAACCCTTCCCCCTCCCCAACCAGGGACTAATACTTAGCCCCCCAAACCTCCTTCACCCCAGATGAATAATGCCCCCCCAACAAACCAACCCCCCCTCCAACTTACTGGTTGGTCCACAGTGGGGGAGGAGGGAGGATATCCATTTGGGGATGGGGGGAGAGGTCGGGGGCTACAAATCACCCAGTGCCCAGGGAGGGGTAGGAAAAGTGCAGCCCTCGGTTTAGGGCCAACAATAGGACTTTCCCAGCCCCGGGGCTGCATTCTTAAAATGTACAGAAGTTCAGTTAGAACAACCTATCCATGCCTGATTTAAATTAGTGTACCTCCAAGGTACAGTTAAATTAGATCAGGTTAGCCATTTTTTGGACTGATCTAACTTTCCTGGAACTTCTGTACAGGTCACATGTAGATTGACCTAAATAGGAATCCAAGTGTAAGGTCTACACATGGGCAAACCAAGTTAGATTGGGTGGTCATTTTTAATGTGATCTGAACTCCTTAAACATCTGTACGTACACCAAAAGTATTTTATGTAAATAATTATGCTTTCACCAGAAAACAGATTATCAAAACAATGTAGACTTTCCCAAAGCAACCTTTGGAGTAGATTTGAGGCAGATTTTTTTTTTTTTAACCAATCTAAAGTGAGGTCCAAAATGAAGAAGGAAAAGAAGCAAAAATAAAATAATAAATAAATCAAATCAAATCAAATCAAATCAACACCACACTGATGGAGTTAATAGAACACTGTTCAGATTTTCATTATCTCCAGAAGAGACTTCAGTGACATGTTTTGACAACTTGAAATATGTAACAGGGAACTGCACGGTGCATAATAAAGTGCTGTTTAAAATTTTTGCATGTAGATTTTATATTATTAGAATTCTGAGCATGTACACTATTGGTGACTAAAACATAACGTTCAATATATATGGCTTACCGGGGGAGATGCAAGCCAGCCGAATCTTTCTTCCAATTTATTCATATCTCTGTCAAAAGCATTTAGAAATCTATAGCGAAGAACATGATCATCAGCTAACTGAAACTGTCTTCTGGCATAATGGTAGCTCTCGTTATTTCCTTTTCTGGGGAAGTCTAACCATTCTGGATGCCCAAATTCATTGCCTGTATTTAAAAATATTCATTAAGGAAACATGAAATAGACACAGACATGTTTAAATGACACCTGAAAAAATACTATGTATTAATTTCTCTTCTCCATAATGCACTCTAAAGTGATTTTCTATACAAAAAGGTGCCTTAAACATTAAAAAGCTTTTTAGGCCTTCCTAATGTGTTACTAGTATTGTAGTATGCCAATGAGAATACTAGATCACAAAAGTTCCATAAGACTTTTATGCTGATTATAGAATGCCTGTGGATGTAGACACATGGCATTGTTACTGGTTTTAGTTTGTAGTAAATCCACTCCATAATAAGAAGTGAAAACACAACCAGCTCTCCCTAAAACTGGATACCTGCAACATTACAGAGCTTTACCACTAGCTGGTAGGAGATCCAGCATGCATTAAGCAAAGGAGTATACTGAGATGACATTGAATAGAAGTTGATACACAGCACTTACTCTGGTAGTAATTAAAGCTATTATTGTTTTCTCAAGGGAATATTAGCCTGGAAAAGTCAAGACTGTAGCAATGCTATGCATTGAATATCTGTTCCACTTCCAGTAAAAGTAAATGTCGTGTCTCCACATCCAGTATTAATGGGTTAGGCTGCTTCCCTCTCCCAACTTTCTGTTGTCACAATCATGATTAAAGATCTATTATCACAGACAAATATGCTCATAAGCACTAGACCTGTGCAAAGTGGCAAGTATTCAATTCAGATTCGGATTCAGACAATTCAGATGGACAGTGATTCAATTCAGTGATTCAAATCACTGTCCCAATTCAATTCAGCCGATTCGGATCTGAAGATTCGTCACTGATTCAGAGATTTGGCCACAGACTAAACAGGCAGCATTCCTGAGAATGCTGACACAGCTGCCTCCAGCTGCTAAGTCTGTTGTGGTGGGTGGAGGGAAGGGCCGTGGGGGGGAAGATCAATGCCCCCACAGTGAGGGAGGGCTTGGGCTGGGACAAGCTGTCCAAGAGGGGCGGGAAGCATCTGCCACCGTGCGTTGCCATGTGCTGTTGGACTAGGAGGGCATGAGAGTGAGTGTGTGCCCCCAGATCTGCACAGGCTGGGCTGGGCTGTGCTCCGGATGGGTGGCAGAAGGTGCTGGGAGCAGGAGCTATGCCCTCCCACCGCTTGCCCAGCCACCCCGCGCCTCCTTGACAAGTCGTGGCTTCACCCTGGCTGGGTGAGGAGTGGCAGGGCATGGGGGCAAGTGTGTGCACCTGGATTGGAGCAGGGCCGGCGGCAGGGACTATGGGGAATTTTAGGGTGGCTGCAGCCCCCCCAGTAGGCCCTGCTAGGCAGGCAGAGCCAGGGCTGCGCTATGGGCTGCAGCAGGGACTAACTGTCCACAGTGCAGCCTTGGCTCCACCCGCTACATGGAGTGCAGCCTGGAGGCAGGCAGCTGAGGCTAGCCTCCCACAGTACAGCCTGCCCCAGCCCACACCGTGCAGATCCGGGGTCACGCGGCCACTCCCATGCCCTCCCAGACCGGCAGCGCACTGCAACGCATAGTGGCAGGACCCCTCCTCCCCAAGTCCAATGCCCCTCCACCCTGGTTGGGCAGCTTGTCCCAGCCCCAATCCCTCCCTCGTTGTGGGGGCATTGAGCTGCCCCCCTCCACGCTCCTTCCCTCCTCCCTTCACTCACCACTACAGACTTACCAGCTGGAGGCAGCTGTGTCCAGCATCCCCAAGGACTGCTGCCTGTTTAGTCTATGGCCAAATCTCCGAATTGGTGCTGAATCTTTTCTGAATTGATCTGGAGGCTTCTGATTCAATTCAGAACTTTTAATGGGTCTCCTGAATCGATTTGGAGATTTGGCCGCTGAATCAGGCCAAATCTCCTCCAAACTGAATCGGCTACTGAAGCTTTACATATCTCTAATAAGCACTGTGACACTGTCAGTGTACCAGGATTGTTCTGAGAACAGTTTTGAGAGCAACATTCATGTGATGCACAAATTCTCTGTGCTTGTCATCTTATTTTGAGTATCAAGTAAAAGTAACAAAGAATTACAGAGATATCTCCAAACAGCTACTCAAGTTCTGTTATATGCTGTGCTTCTTTTGTAGAGGATTATACAGCTACTGGGGACTGAAAGAACCATACTATTTTGTGGATGGATAACGCATGTGTGCAGCCAACACCTGCTCCCTTCCAGATGGACAAGCAACTGGTATGAATTTGGGTTTTCACAACAACCTTTATGAGCTTCCACAGTTCAGAAATAGGGAATATTAGCCAAGTTAAAGAAGTAAACAAAACAAACAGTAGAAGAGACAGGCTAAATATATATATATATATATGAAATTTTTTGCAATGCTGCTTTGTAAATGAACCGACAAGTGGCAAATTACATTTCATGTTTCAAAGCACAACAACTAAACTTCACATTCAGCTCAAAAACAAGCAGAACTATGAAATAATTGGATCAGAATCACAGCAGGACTCTGAAAATGACCTTGGCATAATAGTGGACCATGCTTTAAAACCGTGTTGACAATACGGTGAAGAAATTTAAGATACTGAGGTAGTGCTACCAAAAAAACCCATGCATCTAATTACCTTTAATATATTTATTTTGCATTAATTTAAGATATTCTCTTCAGAATAGTCTTCACAATGTGAAGACCATAACTGAAGGGGATATCCTAAATTTTGAAGCACATGAGATAGCACAGTGAAAAATGGCAAAAAATGAGCTTTAAAGTGAGAGATATTTCATATGTTCTGAAGACAGAAAAGGAAATCAAACTGGTCATTGTAGCATAACATAGTTAACACTGGAATTTTTATTTTGAATTGTGGAAAATATTGAATAGTTAAAAGAATGCCAGACCAGTGAAGTGTCACCTTAAAGCAGAAGAAAGGACAAACAGTTCTCTATATGCAGAATTTCTTTTTTTGAAAAAGATAAGAAGAACAGGAGCAAGTCCTATTTGAAGCAGACATAATATGATAGATATATAGAAAGGTTTACATAGAAAAATAGAATTTAACACTGTATAACAATTTAATAAAAGGTTAGATTACTTGCTGAGGGCAGGAAAGTATTTAAAGTCACAAATTTTGGTAGGCTTAAAAGCTTGCTTCAAAGCAGTTTGTTTTTTATGGCACCTTCTAGGTGACATCTTTTTAGTCAGCTTTTAATCTTCAGTAGGCAAGCTATCCCATATATAAAGGGTAAAAGAGATTAATAAAAAGAGCAAATGTTGCTCTCCATGGGCGAGTCTACACATGCATTAATGTGCCATTGCTACAACACATTTAGTTTAGTACCTGTAATATGAGGGACTAACTAAATGTGCAGTAGTTGGTGCTACTCTGCAGTAGCACTGGTGCACAGTCTTTCCGTGATGCTTAATGCATGGTAGACTAATTCTACTGTGCATTAGTACATTAGCATGGCTTTTGCTGTGACACACTAATGCACAGTAGAATGAATCTACTGAGCATTAAGCATCTCATGTAGACATGCCCCATAAGAAAGATGTTTCCAATTTCAGAGAGAATAGACCAGCATAGTTTTTTGGAGCATGTTCCAATGAAAAGTAGCTCATGTTTGGGATAGAAATACCCACTTCATGAATCTATCAAGAGCACTTTGTCACTTGAAACAAAGTCTCAAGTCTTTTCCTCTTAAGTGAGAATTCACATTTCACAGAATCTCTTGCTTGATTTATCTTTGTGGTGTTCACTGAGCTGATAAATGTAAAAAACATAGGAAATTGAAGACTTTTGAAATACATGGGGGAAGGGAGGGAGCACAACAGAGAAGAAAACAGGTGACTAACACTGCTGGAGTTAATTAATGGCACCAGTAAAGTATGTGCCAAGTTCTTCCTCCTCACAACTTTTCATTTCCTCCTCAGACAGCAACATTCATGTCTGGGTAATTGTGAAAACCTCCAAACTCAGAAGTACTAGTGGGATTTCTTTTCCTGTAATTAATTTTTTGCTGTTTGATGTAAAGGTCCAAACTATAAAATGACAAGAAGCCAGCTGGTACAAGTGATGCAATGCAAGACAATGAGACTAATGGAGTAAAAAAATGCTAAATGAACATTTTGATTAGAGAAACAAAATGAAAACATTGACTAAACTGCAGTGCATACTAATTTGACTTATTAATTAATAAAAGTATGCCAGTGCCTACACATTGCATATAGTGTACAACTTTAAGAGGTAAGATTGTTGTGGGTCAAATATGAAATGCTCAATTCTGATGGGATCTGTGAATTACTGCCCCGTTCACTAGGTTGACAAGATACTCATCAGTTCATTTATATGGTAAACTATAAATGCTTCTAAACCTTTTTCATAAATTACTTAGCAATATCCAGCAGAGCCGGTTAGTGTTCAGATGAAACCCACAGGGCTGTTAGAATTCTGTTGATCTTCCCTTTTCTGACAGTTTTGATAGCAGTTCTATACACCAGTGGTCTCCTAAAGGGCAAGGCTAAACCGATAAGACAAAAGGGCAGTTTGTGAAATTAAACAGCACTATGCTCTTATTTTTGTTTTCTTTCTTTTTCCTTTTTGGATAACAGGGAATTAATATGGTACTTTAGGAACACTTAAAAATTAATGGAAACATAATGTAACAAAACACAAAACGTTCCCATTACAGGCTTTCCCATTATAGACTGTCACAAAATTGCACTGCAGAAAAAAAAATACAATCTATGAAAAAAGTGATCCATTCTCACTTCTTCAATACATTGAAAAAGTAAGAACTTTACCTGGAAAATGATTTTTATTGGGTAGACTGGTATAAAATATAAAAACTTGGACTGCCCTGAAAGGGACTAAGGGATTAACAGCCAAATTCATAATGTAGCAGATACGCACTAGACACTTGGGGCTGTGCCTCAGATGGTTTAAATTAGCACAGCTCTATTCAAATCTGTGGGATTATACCAATTAACATCAGCTAAATATCTAACCAATCACAGGTTCCATCTTATTTTAAGTTGGCTCAATTA